TATAAAAACCCTTTAAAACCTATACATTTACTCTGCTATAATATCAAAGTAATTCTTGTGCTATTCAATCAGGAAAAAGAAAAAATGGACAATAAGTACAGTGGTTGATAAAGGTAGGTTGGTAACCACAAACCTCATTTATTTTTCGCCTGTATGAGTTCATAGTGGGCATGTTATACTAATCAATTAACAAATACCACTAACCTTCCAGATTTACTTCAAACTTTTGGTACAATAATTTAGAATTAAACTATTTTTAAATCCTAAGCTTTGTAAGTCAATGTGAATCAAAAATACAAGTTATGTAACTGCATTGTTTTATAGTTAGAAACAACTGAAAGATTTATTCATTTATCAGGTACCTGTTTCAACAATAATGTGTACATTTTCCAGTCTTTTTATTCCGGACATTTCAGTATTTCATGTTCATAAGCTTGTTTATTACAGTGTTGGTGCCATAGGTGTTGTATCTATAATTCTGCAATTACTCAAACACTTTACAATCAGTCAAGGGAGAAAATAACTCATTTTATTCATTAAGTACATGCCTACTTAGCCTGATCAACTACCTAGTATTTTTGAATATTCTTCAAGTAGCCAAAGGTAATGTCAAACAACATAAAAATTTGAATAACATCAATTTATTTTACAAAATAAGACTTTTGATACTTGTAACTTTATCTTACAAAGCTTGAAAACCATTAGAGAATGAATGAGAATGAAACTAGAAAGTCTCTTCTGAGAATATAGTATTAACATATAACAACATTTAACTTCTCCATGTCAGTTGAAATAATGTTTCATTTTTACAACTAGGGTATGATACCAGTTAACCTTTTGAACTCTGTAATTAATTTTTCAATATAACATAAAAGAAAAGACTTCTACTATAATAATAAAGTATTAGCTAGCTTACATTTTCTAGATGTATCAGTCAAAAAAGAAATAGATGGGTACTTGGAAACATCAGTTTATAGAAAATCTTTTGCTGTAGTTATGCTGCCACACTGGGAATCATGTCATATGAGTGTGGGAGTATTTATATTGGTGAAACTAAAAGGAATTTAAATTACAGATGACAGGAACATAAAGGTTACGTAAGAAATAATAAAAAGAAAACTCTGCTATTGCAGAACATGTAAAAACAACACAACACAAAATTTTATGGGAAAAGTACAATTTTAGCTCAACCTCGTGACATTACAGCTTTAAATGTCAAAGAATCACTAGAAATAATAAAATTTGAAAAACAAAATGAAGTATTAAACAAAGATGACGGGCCATAAAGTCATAGTATTGATATTTGGCAGAATGTGATATAAAGGTTGACTAAGGAATTATGTAAATACAAAAGCAATGTAATATCACGTGGCAGGAATAAAAATGTATAAATTAGTATGTCTTGCAGATGACTCCTGAAAATGACATACAGAATGTTGAAACACTGTAAATATAGGGTGTATTTTTAAAGTGGAAGCTGTTGATAGATTCAATAAAGTTTTTTAAAATTGTGTAAATATGAAACATTGATTTTAATTATTTATTAAACATCCTCAGAATAATAAAATCATCAAGGGATAGTGTAAGAGGAATAACCGTATTGATCTGCAAGGACCACCAACTTGACCCACTATATGGGTGGAGGGGACAAGAGTATAAATGAGTGAGGAAACAGAGACACCTATAATACCTGTGTGAGGACTTATGATTATTGGTTCAGCTCTGAATGTAAAACCTGCCACTGAGAACCAACTTCCATTTAGGAGTAGGATGAGGAATCCCAATTGAAGTGGTAAACTGCAGTTTTGACTACTCACTTCAAAGCTACAACATCCCCTCAGATAAACCTGTCCAGAGATGGAGCATCAGATTGGAGAAAATCTACACCAGCAGAACACCACCACCCCACTCTCAACTCAATGATTTTATTTTTATTTGTATCATCTATTATCACATTCAGGAGGATGCCTCCATAGACCATCACCCCAACAGCTTGGAACTGGAAAGTGGTAAGGACTCCCATACTCCAATGAAAGAAAACGGGGAAAAAAAATGTGGTGGAGTCTCCGGAGGAACATCAACATTGAAGACAGTGCAGCAAGAGATCACAGATACCCTATTTTAAAAGCATACCATTCCTGATTAATTCTATCTAAGGAATGGCAGGGATGAGCAGCTATCACCCTTCTGCTTTAACCATGAAGTCCATGGGTTAGTATGAATGAAGCAAATATATCATTTAGTAGCCATGGAAATTATAATTGTTGAGTCAGCATGACCTTACAGTGCATATTTGACTAGTTTAAGTACACCTGGATAGGCACCACTCAGCACAGAGTGGGATCCAT